AAATCCATTATGATCTATCAACAGTACAGGTGTAGATTTATGTATGTCCACATCACATTCTTGGGTTTCCAGGTTTCCTTTGTGCCAGCTCTGGGGTCACCTTCTTCGATCAGACAAAAGAAACACAAGAAAAGTTCCAAACTAGAGGAGGCTGTTTGGCATGTCCTGGTCCGCTTAGTAGTTACAGTAGTAAATGGTCATCAGTACTTGGTCTCATCCAGCTGTTTTTTGACAGACACAAGGGTATTGGCTAAAACAACATATGTGCCTTGGTCATTACTTCCTTTTGTAACCCTGTAACCCTTTGTGGCACCCATTGAGTGCCTCCTGTTCTTAATTTTGAGTGCACTTGCCCGTGGGTGTCCACTGGGTGTCCTCTGGTTTGTGTTTCACAGTTCACTCTGAACAAATCTGCTGTGTTGACTTTATCAGTGCCTTAAGTTTCTGCTCCAGCTATGGTGCTTCAGTGACTCCTGTTAAGGACTACAGAACTGTAGCTTTTAGGAAAAATGCAAGTTTGGTTAATATGTTAAAACGTGTACATCAACAAAACCATTCATACCTCGCTAATGTAGATAAGTAAAAGCAGGGTTAGCTCTGTGTGAAATATTGGTACACTGCACTGTATTTCATGTATGTAAATGTTGATGTTTCATCTACATTTTAGTTGTGTCTGCAATCGCATAAACTGCAATACACATAAACAAAGCAGAATTTGTAGCTCCTAGGCCAGACAGTTTGATTCACTGGAGGCTAACATGATCTGCTCAATACTCCCTCCTAATATAGGTAGTTTGAGTTTTTAACTCTGCTCCTGAAGAGTATAAATTAAACTGATTTTGTTCTGTAGGTAAGTATTTTATAGGTAACTTGTATGGTGGCCACCAACTGTATAAGAACACTCCTCCCCAGGTACTGTAATAATGATCTCTGATTCAATCCAGGTATGAATATGGTCACAGGTGATGATCCTCTGTTTAATTTGTATTTTTAAAGTGCATTCTGGTGTGTGCCCCCTGGTGGGTCACAGGGCATGTGATAAATATATTAATCTGAATGTACCATTTGACTCACAGGAGAGCACAGGCAGAATTTATAAACCAGTTTTTATGGTACATGAATGACTGTTGTTTCTTTTCAGGTGTAGTGTTAGTCATGTGGGGGTATACTGTATAATAGTGGTGTAAATATTCAATAGGTGAAAGAAAGCTCTGTTTAAAGCTTTCTTTTCTAAATATTTTATTCCAGATGTGAAACTTATTTAGATAATTCTGTCAAAATTGAAGATTCAGCTTTTGTCTCAGGGTGCTATATATGTGTTGTAAAATCAGGATTTGTTGATGAATTTAACCTTTTTTAGTGGTGCTGATGTGTCGTTTTGGGTCTGTCACTCCAATTTGAAGTACTGTATGTGTTTCTCCCCAGGAGACTCTTTATTTTTTCAAAAGTACATCTTCTGGCTGTTTAAGCAATACTGAAGTGATTTCCTCTCAGAAGAAGTTCTGGACATTGTTCCCCAAGGTGTAGTGATTTTCTGTCTGAAAAGTTTAATTTCAAACTGAGTACATTTCCTTGTGTCACATCCAGCTGCTGAACTGTCCGAGGAACTGCGCCGCACAATCCTGAAACTCTATGCTGATCACCTCTCTGCAGATGGAAAGGTAAAGACTGCATTGTTTTCTTTGATGTTTTGGAAATTGCTTTATTTTCGTTAAACATTTTTTTCATTCTTATATATTTAAACCCCAATCCACAGGGGAGGAAACACAGAATCAACAGAGACCTCATACACATCTTCCACAGATACACGTTCCACAGTTTTAATCAGAAGACAAAGAAAAAAGGAAGAAAAAGAAAGAAAAAGGGCTAGAAAACAAAAAAGGAAAATGAAACATCACAATCTTTTGTGTTGCTGTATTTTTTGACAGAACAATTGTCTAATTATACTATTAATGAATTAAAGCTATCATGTATAATTACATAGGAATCAATATAAGAAAGGCTATTTTGAGAGATTAAAATGTAGCTCAATGATAAATACTTTCCTGTTGAATTCAATGTTTTTTTTTTTATTTTGGGACTGATTAATTGCCTTGCAAATAAGAAGAGGCCAAACAGAATGGCCTTCCATTTTTCCTCTACCATAAGAACATCAAAAAACTTACAAACATGAAACGTTGAGCTCCTCTGGCAAGCTTGGCAGTTAGGAGTTATTAATCATAGAGTTTTATCCTGTCATGAACCTTCTTGGTTCATGAGATTGAAATAATGAAAGGCCAGTGGGAAGAAACACATCCGTATTAATGAGTTGGTCTATAAAATGCCACATTGCCATCGCAAGAGGGTGTAGGAATCGGCTGATGTGTTTTTTTTTCTTATCTGCTTGTAGTTTGTAGATTACAAGGCCATGTCTAGGAGTCCGATCTTTGAGAAGTACTGTGAGCTGACCATCCAGCTCCAGCGTGTGGAGCTGCAGTCTCTGAGCCGTGAAGAGAAGCTGGCCTTCTTCATCAATGTCTACAATGCCCTGGTCATCCACGGTCACATCCGCATGGGCTCCCCCCAGAACATGTGGCAGCGGTACAGGGTAGGGAGGAGCCGCACAGGGTCTTTAACAGTTAATAATTCAGCCATGATTCACATCCAAAACATTGATGTGTGAATTTAGCCTTGAATTCTTCACACAGGCCTGTAATGCTGACATTCCCGAACAGTTTGTGACTTCTCATTGGTTGTTCTTTGGTGTAAATGAAAGATTCATTTTTTTGCAGCTGATGTCAGAAGAACATAAGGAAGGTTACAAAGGAGAGGAGGCCATTCAGTCCATCTGTGTCAAAGCGCTTGGTCACGGAGTGAAACAAGCTGCTTGTGTTTCTCTGTGGCATCCCAATATTTTTCTGCAGTCTCATTATTTAAATAATGGAATCAACGTAACAGTGACCAATGCGGATAAAGCTTGCGTTACCAGATCCACGAGCCGTCCCTTGTCTGTGTTTTGCCCTGCAGTTTTTTAACTACGTGAGTTACCTGATTGGCGGGGCAGTATTCACCCTGCAGGACATTGAGAACGGGGTGCTGAGGGGAAACAGGAAGGGTGTGGCCCAGTTAATGAAGCCCTTCTCCCTGAGCGACCCACGGTTCCAGGTCAGTTTCTACCACTGATTTACTGGCACAGTCGCACGACATTCCTCACCTCTCAGTGCTAAGTTTGGCAAAAAGTTAACGTTTATTTAAGAAAATATGTAAGGGTACATTTACTTCCATCTAGCCCATTTTTGTAGTTAGGAGGTAATTGTTTCAGGGATCTCATCAAGCTGTTTCTTGAAAGAAAACTGGACATGGGTTTCTCAGCTTGTTCCACACTCCCACAACTCATTAGGTAAAAAAGTGCCTCCTGTTCTCAGTTCTAAATACACTTCCACATAGTTTGCTCTTGTGTTTTTATTCATGTGTCACGCAGAAGAAATACACGGGGTTGATTTTAGCAGTGCCTTTCAGGATTTTGAATACTTGCATCTGATCTGACTGGCTTTGTCCCTTTTGATTTGCTTAAATCAGCACCATCTTGTGCACATTATGAACCCGTGTGTCCTGGTCCGCGTGCACAGCTACAGGAGCACCTGGATGGGGAATTCAGCTACCCTGTGTCTTTCCGAGGGGCGAGGAGTCCTGACACGTGTTTCTGATGATTCCCCAGGTCGCTCTCCCTGACCCAGAGCCTCTCGTCCACTTTGCCTTGAACTGCGGAGCGAAGGGCTGCCCCCCCATTAAGACCTACACAGCCAAGGTATCCGAGTCGCAGTGACTGTCGGGAAACCCTTTTCATCACTCATTTATGTGTGCGGCTGAATTTCCAATAGAAATAAACTAAGAGTATTTACTCTTCCCAGTGTCACAAACTATCTAAAATCTAAGAGACACTTCTAAGTCACCTAAAGCTGTAACAGTATTAATATATACAGTAATAACTTCACTGAATCCTAGGTGTTTTAGTTATTTCTTCCTTTCATCCATGAGATGTCAGTAATAGACAGTATTTCTTGTACTGTAGTTTTTTTCTGCAGTTGATTGACTTTTTCACATCAGCGGGGGCTCGCTTTGAGCAAATTAAAAAGTAATCCTGGATGTTTCTGACATGCCTGCAGGATATCGCCAGCCAGCTCCGAACGGCAGCAGAGGCCTTTCTGGAGAATGACGAGGGCTGTAAAGTTGACCCTCTGAGGGGAGAGGTACATCTCAGCCAGATTTTCAAGTGGTACAAGGTGGACTTTGGAGATACTGATGAGAAGGTACTCCCACACCTTTATGATACAATACTACTTTACTTCAGTGTGGCAGTTTTTTTAATGGGATTATTTAAAAGGATAGCACCACACTGGTGCAATGGTTAGCATTACTGCCTTGCAGTGCTGGGTCCTGGGTTCAATTTCTGGAATGCTGTTAATTTGCTGTACACATGGGTTTCCTCTGGGTGCTCCGGTTTCCTCCTGCAATTCAAAGATATACAGTACTGGTAGGTTAATTGGTTTCTGGGAATATTGGCCCTAGGTGTGAGTGTGTGTGTCTGCGTTTGCCTTTCTCCCTCACGATGGGCTAGCTTCTAGTCCAGGGTGTATCCTGTCTTGCGCTCTTTGCTTGCTGGGATAGGCTCCGGGTCAGGAACCAGCTGGAACCAAACCAGCTTCCATGTGTAGGATTATAAGAGAAAAATGACCAACATTTGTTGAAAATGTAAAATAACTGGATAAAAAAAAAATCATTTCTAAACACCTTCCAAGAGATGAGCACAAAATGTTTGCTTTCCACCATGTTGCTTCTTTTTATCTGCCCTGTTAGTGTATTTGTTTTATGTCCTACAGAATTGTTTAAATCAATTCAATTGCTTGGTTAAACAATCAGAAAAATATGAATAATATTAAATAAAAAGCACGAAAGTTGTAAATACTAGTTGGAGTTTTACCAAACGTCTCTTCACACTAGCAGGGATTGGTGGCTTTTGTTTTGGGAATGGTTTTAATATTCCGTTCACCAGTTTTGAATAGATTTGCATATTGTGGATAAAAGGTGATTATCAAACCTCCGAAGATATGAATCCCTGTGACCTTGTATCTCGCTCTGTATTCTGTCAACAGCTACTGAAATGGGTTTTAAACCACATGGGTGACTCTCCCAAGAAGTCCAGCCTGGAGGCTCTTCTGAAAGCACCTTGCTATAAAGTCATCTACATGCCCTACAACTGGTCCACCAATGGCATGGGCTGAAGTGTCTCTCTTCAGCAGTGCATGCTGGCTGTGAACAGCAGGAGTAAGCATGCACAAAAACGCTATTAGAAAGGAGCTAGCTGGGCCCGGGCCTCCCAGAAAAGCACAGAAATGGGCAGAGAAGAGAAAGCTCTCCCCTAACTTTGATTACCAGCTACTGTCCAAGCAAGCCATAGAGACTCTTCTCACCTGCACAGTAATAAGATAGAACACCTGCTGTCAGGATCTGTTTGTCTTGTTTTTGAAGGTAAATTGTATTTTTTTTCTTCCACCATTTCTCCTTCAGTGGAATGATGATTCAGAGTGAAGGAAAAACAGAGATGTGTTTTTTCTATTTCTGCACTGCATTGGAAAATTAGGATTGAGACAACATTCTCATTCTCATTAAGGTGTTGAAAAATCCAGTCATGATTTAGGAATACTAATATCTCATGATTTGAAGCATATAAGAAAACTAAACTGTTGTCAGGTGACTATTACGTTGTAAATTTAAGTCCTGCAGATCAAGGTATAAGGTTCAAAGGTCTTTTGTTGCAGTAAAACAGAATGCGTTACTGTTGAACACACATACTGCCCTATGGATCTTGGGCAATGCGTATAAATAAGTTAGGATAGTCTTTGATCAAATACAAATTCGTCCAGGTTTTCTCAACATGATTGCAGTAAATACATATATTTCTGTACATCTATAAAGTCCTTTTGAGAAAACCAAATTGCTTTAGAAATTAAAAGCTTTTAAAAACATACTGTAAATATTGATATTGCCCTATTTTTCCAAATGCTCTGGTTTACTACCTCCCAAAAACAAGCTGTTAGGGTGATTGGTTGAGTAAAACTGATGTTTCTGTTAGGAAATTTAAATTCAGATTTAAAATTTAAAGCTTACAACGCGTTGACAACCAAGAACAAGGGGGCACTTGTTTACCCAAAGGGTTGTGGGAGTTGATTGATGATGGTGTATTTCAAGAAACCAGCTACTGTAGTTGAGATGTTTGGATCAATTAACTATCAAATACCAGATGGGCCTCTTCTCATTTGTAACATTTATTTAATTAACTCCCTTTGTCTGGAATAGTTCTGCTACAACACTGAGCACAACCTAGTTGAGAAAGGGTTCAGATGAAGAAGATGAAATAGGTCAAACCTTGGAGGCAGGGAGCATAAACACGTATTTCCTGTGTCAAGAAAGAGAGGAGTTTCAAAAGAGTGCTAGGTTTATTGTTCATGAGATTTTCAAAGATACAAGGGCATGCTACAGGATATTAACACTGAGCTTGGCAGCTGCAAATAATAAGTTTTAAAAATTTAGTTTTTAAATAAGTTTTAACTCCATCATCATTGTCATGTATTGATCGTTCTGTAAGTCCAAACCCAGCATGTTCCCATTCATTGTGATTAATGCAAAAAACACATTTCCTTAATTTGATCCTGTTTTGAGATGTGAATGGATGTGATCTGAACCTTTATACCCTGTGACACCTTATACATATTATGCACCAATCTTTAGAGAACATCTTCAACTTCAAGATCTTGGCTGAGAAAGCTGAAATGACATAGGAAGCTATGTGATCCAGCATTTCTTCACAATTTGGAATGCTGCTCTTACATTTGTTTGAAATCTGATTACAGTGTCACCCGTAATCGTGTCAGATGAGTAAGAAAGGTAACCAAAGACTGAAGGTATGTAAGAAACAAGTCTCCAAAGACTCCTCAAGTCACTGTAGAAATGAACTCCTACATCTTTTGAAATCTTTTGAAAGAAATTGCACATTAACAAAACAAACCTTCCAATACATGGAGCTATGCAGGATATTTGATAGATATAATTTCTTGTTAGTGTTTAATAAAGGTAAATACAATCTAATGTAAAGCACGCAGAGGTAAATATAGGTGCCCAGCAGTTTCTCTTCCTTGTGAAGCAAAATATTGATATGACTGATTTTGTCTTTTGCCAAGGGTATACATTGTATAAACAAACATATTTGGAGCTTTATCAATTAATACAATCAGTTGTGGTTGATCATAAAATTTTTGATTGATACAAATGTTTGTGATGTAGCTCTCAAGCTGCTCTGGAGCCTGTTAAGGCATGAGCTCTCTTCAGCGGACAGCAGCCTGTGGAGGGTGAGCTCATACGTCACTCTCACAAGGGAAGTTGGTTGTGCTGGGGTTGAACAGGTCAGCTGGGTAACTGTGTTAAGGCTCACCGTTCAGAGTACACAATGCCGATCAAAAATATCACAAACAAACGACTAAAGAGGTTTATTTGCTCTGCTAGTTTGCATTGGGAGAGTGAGAGCACACCTAGTCCTACGATTGTCACCCCTTTAACATTCAGCCTGAACCCCTGCCCACTGGGTAAGGTTAACATTTATCCCCTGCTAAGACAAATTTAAAAGTCAAGGCTTTGATGTGGTCGTATTTGGATTACACTAAAGTGAGAACAGTCCTTACTGTCCTCAAGTCTGTAGGTAACCTATTTGAAACCTTTTGGCTACTTTTTTTTAGTCTGGTTTGATCAATTCTAAGGACAGGGGTAGGAGAAATATGTGCCATATGGCAGAAGGGTTTGTCTTCTGTACCCAGCTACAGACACAGCTTGTCTTGTGGCCTCGATAGAAGCAATACTCAGTGACAGGTAAGGAAGGAATCTGTCTTTTAGTGCAAGAGACATTGTACTTGCCCGTTGCATGTGTTTAGTTCATTAGCATCGTCTGTACTTGTTGCATGTGATATGAAATGAGGGCTCTAATCCAAACCCTTTTAGGACGTTAATCAGCCTGTTTCCAGATAGTGCCTTTTTAACAACCCTGCATGACAGTGAATACCTCAATTAACATCAACAACCCCCCTTCGTTTGCTCGGTGCTGCTAAAAGTGTATGGGGAATTTTTTGATTTTATCTATTTTGTTTCTAACTGTGTACTTACCCTTAATGAGTATTTTTGCCTCCTGTATCTACTAAACCAAACCATTTTTTTAATTATCCAGGTGCCTAATACCAAATCCATATTCCCAGACATCTCCTTTTTGTGTTAAAAAGTATACAATCTAAAAAGAAATACTGCTACCGATGCTAATATTTGAGATTACACTGTACCATAAACTACAGTTTAATAACACATTTTGTGCACAAATACTGCAAACTCAGTTAATGGCCAATTAAGATGCAATGCAAAAGTCTTGCACAGATGAGGCAAATAATTCCTACTTTACTGTAATGTTTACTTTCTATTGAAGTATATTATCAGGAAGAAACCTGCTGTGATGCAAACTGTGTAAATTAAAATGATTACTATAAACATGCTCTGCATGGAATTCCCCTGTTGCACATCTCTTAACTCTTAAGCAATACATTTATGGTTGTATACAAATGCAAAAATGTATGCAGTGGTTATCTAAAATAAATGCTGTTTTCAACAGAAGTATAGTCTTGTTATTGTGAGTGTACATGCAGTGTTACACTGCTGGTGTCAAATGCATGTCCTTTTAAAATTGCAAATCAATTCAACTGTTTTAAAGAAGTGGTGTGAGCTGGCATCCTGTTCTGATGACTGTGTGCATAAACAGTATTCCTTCATCACACTCCAGGTGTCAAAAATCATATTAGCAGATCATTAGCAGGGGCCAAAATGATTTTGGTGGGAATCAAATTAAAAGTGACAGAATTTCAACATGCACATGTAGACATTGTCAAATCTCATAATGGTAAAGTAGCTGAACTGCAAACAACCACTGACTATCTTCCATGGGAGCCAGGAATGGTTAAAAACCATCCTCTAGACCTAGTAACAGGTCAATTAACAAACACCCTGTTCTCCACTGAATCACTCAGTGCCTTACTGCTGCAGATCAGCTCTTAATATGCTGGTATGACTTTAATAATCACCGGATAACCATCTTCCCAGTTGTTTTTTTATTTTCATTCAAATCCCATTCTAATTCTAATTCATCAGTGCTAAACTCGCATGCCACACTTAACATTCCTATTATAAGATCAGCATAAGAGAAAAAACGTCTTAAATATATATACACACAGTGTATAAATGTTCTGAGCATCAACGATTCCTCAAAGACTCCAATACTATCTTCTACCATTATAAGAACATTGATTGATTTATTAATACAGCTTATTCTGGCCAGTCAATATAAAGTGTCATAGCAAATCTATCATGTCAATCAACTCATAATTGATGATCATTTGACCCTCTCTCTGCTTTGCAGAATGTCATTGCATTAGGATGGGCAGTTGGGAGACCTTTGCACATTAATCACTTCACCACAGGGAGAAACCCAAGAATACAAGGTGTTTCTTCTGGCTGTTACTATAGGTGGAAAATGCATGTAGTCAAATGAATAGAACTAAAAACAAAACTTAGCCCAACCAAGCTCTTGCTTAACCTGTAATAGTACCCTGTCTACAAGCTAGGTAACTAAATTTGCTGGTTCCCGAGCCTACAACACAACCATGCAAGTCGACTCAAACCACAGCACACCCACGCTCTATCAGAAGATAATGATGGACACGCATAGCCTTTATACAAAGCCACATGAACCTACAGCAAGCTATTACAATTCATAAATAATTAAATTACACAATTATCTCCACGTTTCTCAGAACATAGTGGCGGCCTCTGGTGGCAAACCCATTTGTCACCAGCAACAGGTGCAATCCACCACAGCCTGTATCTGCTGGAAGCTAAACAACTATACTTCAGTAGGACAGCCATAGAATTGCAATGAAACCCATTTATACTTCAGTATGGGAAGCTATAGAATTCCAATGAATCCCATTGGATGAAAAAAGACCAGCACTAAATATCTAAGACTTTTGCACAGTAGGGTACCTGTACAAGCAAGAAGTTAAATCATTGACATTTAGATATCCAAAGGGGAAAAAATGGATGAACTGCCTTTGACAAAATGTCAGGGGAAGAAAAAAAAGTAATTTCAGAACTATGCTGCTGAGTGGTCCTATTTAATACTGTAAAGTAACCCCACAATCTCAGGAATAACCCCTTCACAGTAACAATAATTGTCCAAAACACTGGCACACCATTCTCAATCCAGAGACATTAAATAGAAGATGCTATGGGCGACAAAGACATGCCACCTGTTGGACAGAGCAACATCCAGTTCAGGTCACGTTCTGCTCTTGTCTGGTACTTCCATACAGAACTTGTGCCTTGATCATTGTTGTATAATCCACTAATGTTTTTTTTCTCTTGCATGATCGAGTAGCGGTTGAAACCTGCACAGATCCGGTGATTTCAAAGCCCAGGAAGACAATTCCTTTGCTCTTCTACCCATAACTTTTCGAAGCTTGGTTAATTAACTTGGCTTAATTAACGAAGAGGAACTCTAATGTGGGTTACACATTGGTACAGGGGAAGTGGCAAACCATTGTGCCAGTGCAGATCAGGTGCATTTTCTGTATGCAGATGAAGGGGGCAAAGTGCACAAAAAGAAGCCATGTTGTTCTTTTCACTTTGAAAGACGATTCAGATGATACCCATTGACATAATGGAGGAGTTCGCCTACACAGGCAGCACCAGGGAGCTTTTTACTGTGGACAGCCACGATCAGAGATGAAAAGGGGCGGCACATTCCTAAAAGGCCAGAAGGTTTATGGTTTTTTCACCTGAGCAAAAACTTTGTTGATCAGCAATGAGCTATATAGCTCAATCATTATAATGCAAAGCAGGTATTAACCCTTGCCCACAATTTTACATAGACTAACAGAAACCCAGGCTCTAATGCAGGAGGGCACAACTCCAGTCTTGAACAGCCAGATATCTAGTTTTTTTTACCACCCGATTGAACTGATTATTGGCTAAACTGGAAAAGTCTAAGCTTTTCCTTGTTCTTAAGGAACAGGGGATTTAAAGAGACCCATAACAACAACTGAACAGCAGCCCTGTGGCCGGAGTTGTTGGCCTCTGTGCTGGAATTGGTTACAGATTTTGCATATTATCGCCGTGATTCTTCTCATGCTTTGGGATTCAAACTTACCTGCAGCATCAGAAAATCCAATCCTTTCCTCTGGTCTGCCTTTACCCCAATGACTAGAAGCATGGATTAAACTTCTGACATGGCTGACACCAGCAGATGAAAAGTTTAAGGCTGTTCTTGTTCAGGAATGGATAAAACCAAATCTCAAAGGGATTTCTTACAAAAGAGCATGTGCATAAATCAAAGTTTTATTTTAACAGAAGAAAAGGAACTCTCTAGGAATGAGCACTTCACTTCAACTATCAATTCAGAAGCCTTGTCAGGTCAAAGGACACTCAAAACCCATTCGTTTTAGGCTTAAAGTTTTTTGTTGTTGTTTTTTTTAGATAAAGAAGATACATGACCAATATCCTTAATGTCTCTAAAGAAGAACAAATTACCAGTCTGACTCTTGAGAGCCTATATAAAGTGTTGTCATTTAAATATTTGTTAAATACTAGATATACTGCAGTATTTTCATATAAGAAGTATGTTTAAATACAGTACATTAACACACCCTGTTTCAGCAACAAAAAAAAGACAGTTTATTAAACAAATCCAGATAGTACAAAACTGTCAATTTTTCTTATTTGGAGACTCAACTGCACAAAATTACCATGGGCGTTTATGTCCTCTTTCATAATTTTATTGCAGTTCAATGGCTCAGTCCCAATTTAGTAATCTGTTAGAAAAAAAAGTGTAGTCTTATTCTAAAACATTCAAAAAGGAAGCCCATACTTTCATTCTCCTGTAAAAAATCTATATTCAGAAAAAAATAACAGCAGAAAAGTTTATAATTTAATCAGAACGGGAAACAAAATCATAAGCTTGCAAACACTACCCAACCAACAACACAAACCTTAAGAGGACCCTTAGATATCTGAGATTTTTTACTGGCAATGACAAAACATCAATAAACAAGTAAGATTATTTTTTGTGCCACGCAATTTAAAGTCATTTTAGAGTCAATCAGAAAATCCATTTGATCTATAAAAATAAAGGTCTTGAAAACTTACATTTTCCAATATTCAAGGCATTCCTTCCTAAAATACAGCAGAGGTCTATCATGACAATAATATATATTTATATGCCCACCTGCAGGATGTTACTCCACAAAAAACCACAGAGTGAGAATTTTACATAATAGCCCACATAAGGATTCATACCATTTCTTGCTGTTATCAATGGAGACTCCCTTGAACTCTTCATGCCAGCAGTAGAATCATCTGCCATCAGAAGATATCTCCTCACTCTCAGGGGGAAAGGGGGTTTGGATAGTGTTGAGAGGTTCACTAATATCATAGAGGTTAAATCTGGCTTTTTGTCCTCACAAAATAAGTTTGAAACTTTGCCTCACGGAGCTGACTGTTCACAAGAATCAATACTTTTAAAAAAGAAAATCACATTGGCATTCTCCAATCCTTTTACCTGTTAACAGGCAACACAGTTCTTCCAAATATATGGAAACATCACCTTTCAAATCAACAAACTACACCCTACTAAGTAAAATTAATGAATTGTAGACACAGGCGAGATGACTGGAAATCCCCAACAGGCTATCACCTTTACAGCTCGATTTTGGATTTCTTTTTTTCCCCAAAAAAGCTTAGCGGTTTCTTAAAGGGGTACTGCAGTACCAATTTCATAGACCAGTTATTAAATCTCAGTAACAAAATAAATTAATTTACGTTATAGAAAAAAAACAATCAATTTTGAATTCAGCACAAAATTGTGAACTTTGTGAAAACACTGTCGCCATGTTGTTGCAAACTTGAACATGATGAGACCCTTCCTGTTCACTAGTCACTGTAATGACTAATGTAATGCGATGTATGAACAAATAAGTACATGTTGTGCAGCAGACATTTCACAGAAAAAATGTGATCTGCATGCAGAGTTAACAAGGAGTATTTGTCAGCAAATTTTGTGATGTAATTTGGAGGTCTTACAAGTCCCTGTGTACATCTTACTTTTATTGAGGCTTGGAATGCACTCAATGCTGATTCTCTCACCCCGAAAAATATAAAAATAGCATTACACTTCCTCTTTAAGAAACTGAAGTTTCGGTTGTTGCAAAATAATTATTTCCGTGCTTTTCAGGTTCTAACATGTGACGTGCTTTCTCTGAAGCTTAAGTCACCCATAATTCATTAAATGATTTACCAACCCGGGCCATTAGTGAACTGTGATTGGAGATTTCCCAGCAGCCTGCAGGGTTTCCTTAAATTGTTAACACAGCAACAACTGTCAGGAGGGGTTTGCCGATGGAGTAAGCACTTTCCTGAAAGGTGTGCAGCATGTCAAAGCACTCCAAACAGGGGCGTGTCCAGAGGCACTTCCCTGTGTGTGAGTGGGTGTGTCCAGAGACACTTCCCCATGCGTGAGTGGGCGTGTCCAGTACACTGCATGTAGCGCCAATCCAAACTGGCAAACATAAGTGCCAAAATGGGTGGCAAAATAACCCAGTGACAGATTTGTTTATTGAACAGGCTCCACGTTCCAATTTTTTTAAAATAACTTTTTACTGTTTCAACAAGTTCCGACCAGAAATTGTTAGATTCCACTACAAATCCTGAAATTTAAATTGATGAGCAATCTTGAACGGTTTATGAATCTAAGAAAAGAAAGATTACAAAGAAATCCATTCAGTTCATCTTCCCTGTTTGACAGGCTCCTAAATGTAATCAAACATTTAACTCATATTTCTTTTCCGGAGTACTAAATCTTAATTGGGCATTTATCTCAAACAATTCAATAGAAGAATTAGATTAAAGGCACGGAATCCTTATTAAGAGGTTAATATTTTCAGTATGCAGCCAACATGAATTTGAATTATAATTCCCTGCATAACCTAATAAATGGGCTGAATAAAGTGGTCTGTTGGGCCATCCCATGACATACCATAGAGAATCTGGAAAGCTCTTATTTTATTTCTTTTGCCCCAGACTTTAGTACTATAGGACAAAAGTGTATGGTAACTGTTTTATGAAAATAACCATTTAACTTCTCAGTCATCTACAACAAATCCTGATCTGAGACCAATTGAACAAAAGTATGAAATACGTTATCTTTGATAACACTGAAACCAAAACAAGTTTAGAAAGGAAGTCTTTGAAGCTTATACCAATTACCTAGTGTAACCTCTTCAGTTAAAATAGGACACTCATTGTTTTTTTTGTCCTTATACAATCAGGAAAGCTGTATTCTCCCGGTAAAACAAGAGAAATTAAACTTAAGATGAATTTTGGATTACAGAACAAAAGACAAGCTGCAAACAATATAACAGCCATTCACCCCTCAGGCTGGTTAGGTGGTTCAGTGGCTAATTCCAATATTTCTCCCAGTTGTGCTCGGATAAGGCCAGACACCCACACCTCTTTGTGTAAAGAAAAGCTTCCTATACTGCTCTCAGAAAGAATACAGCTTCAATTTCCAGTTTTGACCCCCTGTCCTTGATTAACAGTAATTAATAAGTGTGCTTTCCTCCTCTCAGAGGAAAGTAAAACATTCAATGAATAGGAGCACCTCGATGGCTGCAAATCCAAGACAAGCTTATGTTTTGTGCTGCTGCATTTTTTGTTGGCAATCCTTCTGGGTCCTTGTCAGTACACTTGTCAGATGGAGGCAACGTGTTTAGTCTACTGCGTCGGTTTTCAGCTTTAGTGTTCCTACAAGATTATTTCTGCATTTCTACATAGAGGTTCCAATTTCCTACAAATCATTGAATATACTGGTGTCCAGCACTTTTGTATAAAAACACAAATCTCCTCGTTTCTAATTAGTGTTTTTTTTAATTTAGCAGAAAGCAGATTTCAAAACATCCCCCCCCAAAATTGACATATCCTTGTTAAAACCTTATATAACTTATAAAAAGACTTCTACTGTTCCAAGGGAAACAGTTACAATTTACATGTGCCACATTGAGGACACTATACTATAATCTCAAAGACACTCATTTAGAACCAAAAAAAAAAGTAAAGACAAAAAAAATCACCTTCTGATAAAAGAAGCTGAAGAATTTAAACCCCATGTAATCCTATTGTAATCTGTGTGTGTCTTGATAGCAGTGGTGGCTCACATCTTTTAATCTTGACTCAATTCTGGGGCCTGCTGCAGGGCGTTGCTACCAGAACAGCAGGTGAAGACTGCACTATCTGTATCATAGCTTTGGGTCAGAAACAAACCACTGGATGTCTCGAAAGGCGAGGACCACACAAGGCACTGTTAGCAGTACACTGGTGCTTACGGGGAAGAGCACTGTGACATATGATCAACATCAATGCAGTTCCAGAGGAACAGTGGCTGGTAGCCATAGTCTTGCAGGGCCACAGTCTTGCTCTTCCAGGGTGTTTGCAGGACCATTTGATTCACACCTGGAGACTGTGCTTAACTGGTTCCAATTAGTTCACAGGTTCAGCTGATACTTGCAGCAGAATGAAATCTAGCAAACCTGTGGTGCTGTAGGACTGGTTTTACCCGCAACTGCAGCTTGGAAACAGCCCGTTCAGAAAAGGCAAATCAATTTGGTTGTTATCTTTAGGTGCTTGGTGCTTGTTCCCCCTCTCCTGACACCTGGACAAGGATTTATCTATCCTTGGTGTTAAAGGATGGCAAACCCAATGTGCCGGCCATCTCTACCTGTGCAGCTTCTCACCACAAAGACTGAAACCCTTACAATACTGAATACAATTCATTAATATACACAGTGCAGCTAGAATGGAGAGTACACAGGGGGAAAAAAAAAAAAAACATTAGTGGGCTGGATGAAACAAATACCTATTGTGTTAGTGATTCCTGTATTCTGCAGCAGCAATGCGAATTATGAGGTGAATAAACTACTAGTGTGCAATAAATACTGGGGCAGTTGATTCGGCTGTTGCTGATAAAATAATTTAAGAAAACGAGTACGTCTTTCTCCACTTCATCCCTAGCAAGCTCCGAACATTCAGATCAGGTGCCAGGCGATCATCATTCCTACTGCATCCCCAATCTCCATGCACCAACAGCAGAAAGAAGCCGACCGAATAGTTCCAGGCACTTTGGAGTTTGGGAAAGGGTCCAGAATTTGCTAGAGTTGAATCATCGCAGAATGTGGTCAACTAAAGGCTTCCGTTCCAGTCTCACAGACTGAATTTGACCCCCGCTCTTCCACTACCGCAACAAGCTCTTTTTCCAGTCGTCTTTTGGGCATCTTGTTACACAGCTCTGTATACAGAGAACTTGGGTACCTCTTAGAGGTTGTGTTTTTATTTTTTTCCCCGCATTTTCAATCCCTCCCCTTCCCCAGTGTGTTTATCAGATAAGATTTCTGAACACAAGTCTTTTGAACTCCTCTTGCTCTCGTTGCTGTGGCGTTCAGTTTCAAAAGTGCTCTGAGGTAGCCCTGTGCTCAAGGCCAGTTAAAACAGTCAAACATTGACTTGACAAACACAGGAGCATCTTCAGTCCTGGCTTCACATGGAAACAGTCTTTTCATACTTATTTTATCAGGCACCTGAGGAGAGAGAGAGGACAGAAAGGCATGAGAATCTGTTATTTAAACATCGGATCACTAATACAATTGCAAAGCAACTCAAGAGCTAACTTGGTATCATCAGAAGACACAGTGTTCTATAGACATAATTGTTACAGGTTGATAGATTCTTTACATTAGCGTAGTTTATTGAAAAGGGACAGTGTACAACTCTTTAGGTGAACCAGAGTTAGAGAAAAAGCTAATTTGCATTTGTAGTCCCTGGTTTTTGAGCTATTTGGAGCATGAGATATTTGCCTTCCAATCTAAAGAGGATGTGTTACGTTTGTGAGTTTCATAAACGGTGGTTATAATGCCAAAGTAGCACTTGAGCATCACAATTATCGGAATGAAAAGATTAGGTTTACAATAAGTCAGATGGAATTGGGTTAACAGAGCAGCAAAAAAAACATAGCCAACCTACATCCAACACTAGTCCTTAAGGGTCAGAGCCCAGAAAGTTCTTTTGGGGTCCTTTTAAATCTCTAGCTCCTAGAGAGCAAGTAAAGGCTTAAGCTTGTTAAACAATGAGCTGAACTGGGTAATTATTAGCTCACAACATAAGCCAGGACTGGAGAGGTGTGTTCCTGGTTTTACAGTTAACTATTCCAGACTATTCCCACAATCAAGGCCTCAAGTTATACAGCTCCCCTGTCTATTAATTCCCACAATCACTAATGTGGGATTTCATTTCCATGGTGAAGCTCCTGGGGGGGCTTGTTAGAACAGTCAAAACCCAGTGGCCAGCTGCAAAATCTACCTCTGTATTAAAGCTCCTTAACCAATCCCTTCAAGGTAAGATGCATTTCTTACAGCACTTTTATAACCCTAAAATGGCAATGGAAAACTATGTGAAATTGGACTATCCCTTTACCTGCTGAAAAGCTTTAATAACTGTTCTGGGACACTATACTGTGCTCTCAACCTACTGAGCCTAAAATGGCAACAAACGATCGAACAGTAGTCTGTTTTGCCCTTCCTCTGTCTAATTTCAGGAGTCACACGTGCAGGGCAAGAAACAGGGGAACATCAGCTGCAGAAATGTACAAGCACAGCGCAGGGAATCAAAGTAAAACACGTAACAAATAGCACCATTCTTAAAGGACCAAATATGTCAATGCATTTTTTAATTAGTTGCATTTTATTAGAAAAAGACCATTCCTTAGCTGAACTTTGTGTTGGTCCATGTTTTGTTCACCTTGCTGCTGTTGAAAGAAAGTGTTGTGATGCCACATTGAATCTAGGTCTGCATGTCTGGGTTGTGATAGTAAGAGGAAACTCATTGAGATGCTGCAGAACAGAAATCTGACAGCAAGGAGACATTTGTGTGGATCACATTATGTTCATTCTATGTGAAACAGTGAGCAATAAAGTCAATTATGGCACACAAAAATCACTATTTGTCTACCTGCAATACATAACACATTCAAAGTTTTGACCCTGAGCACCTGTACTTTGATCAGCTGAAAAGTTCAAATCGAATTTCCACATGATCCCTCTGGCTGGAAAGGCCTATCATCCCGTGTCTGTATGTTTAAGCATTACAGTGCATCCCACAGAGCTCAACAAGGCAGAAGGCCGTTCTGAATGTTTCAGCGACAGTTGAACAGCAAGTTAAGATGTGAACCTTTCTTCAAGCGCATATATGTGAGCTTTTAAACAGGAAGTACAAACAAAACAGCTGCAATTTGTTCTCTGAATCCAGTATAGAACCTAAACCCCAAAACAGCTGAGCACTTACAGCTGCAAAAGAAGGCCAAATTTACAGATTTATTAGAGAATATAACAGTCATCATATAAGCTTACTTAAGATTTATACAACTTATGTAGCAAGTCAAGTGCTTAGCAACTAAAAATAATTACTTTTTTTACTTATTCACTTCTAAATGATCTTGGTTCAACACCTGATACTTTCTCTTCCTTCTATAAGGCTCTTTACTTTCTTGAAGAATCTCACTCAACTACAAACAAAAAGCAAGAATAACTGAAGAGGTAGTATGCCTAGCTCAACAAAAAAACAAACGTTCATCTTTAGAATAAAGTCAAATTTTGGACAGCAGTCACCGTTTCCTAATTCAACAACGTCAAAATCCAGCCCTTGGCACCACAGACTTCCCATGAGAAAGAAAACAGCCCAAATAAAGTTTACTACCTTAGCTGTAAGAT